AATATGGCAACAATACTCCATTTTCGGCCTGATTTGCCTCTTATAAAGGTAGAGGATAACATGAGGAGTTGAGTATTTACTGGAGCAGTGCAAGGAACTGATCATGTTACCTGCATCTTTACCAATGGATTGTATATAAGAGTTCCACTTGAGGTTGGTTTTGAGTTTGAGGCACAATATTCTCTCAAGGCCCAGTGCCATCTTCGAGGGGACATCCATTCATCATGACTGACAGTAGTTTGGAATGATACAAATCTTACTAATTAACTCAAAGTTGAGGGTGAGGAGAGAAGAGGTAGATTCATGCCTTTCCCAAGGGTATTTGCGAATAAGTTAATATAATAAACTCAACTGGAATTGAAACTTAACAATTCTGAGCCATTATCCATTGTACCACCCGTACATCCAAGCTCATTGCACCTAGTATTCCCATGCGATCACCCATCTAGATACTTACTAGGCTTGATGTTGCTTAACTTCGATTGTTCAGTGTTTCAATGTGATCCACGTCCTGGATAAAACGATAAACTATGTCCAACAGCAAGGCCTCTGATCAGGAGGTTTTGAGAAGCATGGAACCACCTCTTAATTGCTGGTGTTCCCAGGGTGGTAGCACCTGTTAGGGTCCCAGCTATGGGCAAATACTTAACCCTGAAACTAAGGTAAAAAGCATTATAAAATATTACTAGCAATATGTTCTTGAAGAAGAAAGAAAAAAAAAACTATTGCCAGAAATACATTTTTGAAAAAATAATATTACCAGCTACAAAACAAAAATATTACCAGGAAAAAAAAAAGTTGTCGGCATTAAATGACCCATTGAGGTTGATATGCCGTAAAATAAAACAAACCAAACCAAACCAAACCAATGTGATCCAGTATTGATTATAGGTTTATAAAAACTCAGTAATAATTATAGATTGGTTATTTTTGTTTTTGTTTCAGAAAGATATCAGATTAAACTAAAAAAGGGAATATTTTAATTTCATCTTCATTATCAGTCATTACATGCACACACAAAAAAAAAAATGACAAGTTTATTAAATATATTAAAACCCATTTTTTTTTTTTTTTTTTTTTTTACTTTGTTCCTTCGAGAAGCTTCAATCTAATCAATAGTGAAACCCTTCACTCAAGCTTTCAAGGTGTTTTATTGATTTTTATTGATTTTTCTGATTATTTGCAGCTCAGTAAAGGGACTGCTATCTGTCCACTCGAGGTCTGCACACGATTGCATAGTCAATGGTCTATCCATAGCTCTTCCCTCTCTTTCTCACATAACGGCATCCTTGTTAATTAAGCTTCTATTGTGTTCAGATCCATGTCTACATCCAGCGGGCTTGGAATGCTTTAAGACACAATCAGCCGACACTTGTTTACGTCTCTTTTCTATACAGCTTGCCTGAATAATTTTAGAAATGAACTACTTGTATGAATAAAACTATGTGCATCAAATAGTCGCTTGTATTATAAACTCTCAGTCTTATTTTGTTTTTAGTCTTTTTTGTGAATAGGCAAGTCAGCTTGTTTTAACCCATTGCCCCTAAATTGTGCCTTGAAGCACAAATTAAAGTGAAGAATTCATTAATTTTAAGAGAATTAGAATTATGGGAACTTTTTTTTTTTTTTGGTCTTCTGTTTTTAACTGTCTGTTTTGAAAGATACGGTAATATTTTTTTTTTTTTTTAATCATTTGTGTATTAGTAACTTCTATTGTTCCGATTAAAATCTTTTTCTTCTATATTGTTCAACCTACACAAAAAGAAATAATGCTTTTCTGCAATAATTATAGTTAAATTTGCATGGAGATTTCATAAATTTAATCTTTATTATAGATCATTGGCAGTACAAATTATTATTTATTATAGAAGAGAGGCAGTGCAAATTATTTATTATAGAACGAAGGCAGGGAAAATTATTATTTGTTATAGAATGGAGGCAGGGCAAATTATTATTTATTATAGAATGGAGGCAGGGCAAATTATTATTTATTATAGAACTAAGGCAGTGAAAATTAGTAATAGAGATTATCATATATTTTTATTTCTTTAAAGATAATTTTTAGTGGAAACCATATATGCTTATCAGAATTTTTGAATTTAGGTTCGCTCATAAATATTCTTCTGAAGTGAAAGTCAAGATAAATTATTGAAGATGGACAGTTTCTATACTACCTTAGAAAAACTGTAAAAACAATGACTAAAAAAAACTGGTAAAATATTCCTTGTCCATCATATTCAACAAAACATAATGTCTAATAAGGATGCAAGACTAAATTTATCATCTGTAAAAATATTGTTTGCTCATTTCTTGTCTGTTAGCTGAATTGAAAATGTTATTTGCAGTAATTCTTCAAAAAAATTCCATCTTTTTTTAACTGAATTCACAAAGTCAATTCAAACAAGACAAAAAAATCTTTCTCATCAGAATCCATCTTGCACATTTATAAATCTACCATTCATCTGTGTATTTAATACTGTTACTATATTTGGTCTGATGCTACTACTGTACTTGCAAAAACCAGAGAATAGTCTGCAATACAATCGATCATGACCAAGGCTCTTGTCTCCAGTCACTGTCTCACTGACATGGCAACTGCTCAGATGAGCTTTTGATCCTAACCCTGACTACATGAATTTAAGCAGGCTACTAGGTCTCACTAGTTTACTGTTGAACTAGCTAGATGCAGATGCCACTTCTAATCTAACAGTTTTTTCTCGCAGTTCCAAGCTGTAGAACTCCCTTCTCATTTCTTTCCTCCCTGATAACTACAATGTTCAAAAATTTAAATGCAACATCAATCGCCATCTTCTGCCTTCTTGACTCCTGTTTCTTTTTTGTCCTTTCCTCAATCCTCCTCATTTTCAATCTTCTCACTCTCTTTCACTTTCACTTCCTGTACCCCACACCCCCTATGTTCTAGTGGCATTGTTACCTTGTGTAGGGGAAAAGGATGTAAAAGAAAAAACAAAAGAAAGTAAAGCTACTAAGTCACAAGTGATTACAGAATGTGGAAAAATTAGGAACAGAAACATTAAAAATGAGTAGAAAGAGAAAAAATAAGGAGGACAGTAGATAATGATTGACATTGCATTTAAATTTTTGGAAATTAAAGTTTGCTGGAAAGTATGGAGCCAGAAAGGAGTTCCATAAGTGAGAAGTGTGAGAAAAGAAACTGTTAGCATAGAACTGACAGCTACATCTTGCCAGCTTAAGTGTAAATTGATGAGATCTTGATGTCAGTCTAGTATTGCGCTTAAATTAAAAATGTCTAGGTAACATAGAGAAGAGCTGATCCGAACAATGAAAATATTTATAGAAAAAATACAGAGGCAACCCTACGGTGATGGAGAAAGTGACTGAAGCCAAGCTGCCAGATCAGGACCAGTAATATTGCTGATTCTTCTTTGGATCGTATCAAAGAGCTCAAGTTAAATAGGCCACCAGACTGTATATGGCAGCAATATTCTAAGCATGGATTAATGGTAGAATTGTAGATATGTAAGAGATTCTTGATAGAAAAATTGACTCACATGACACAGTGAACTGACTTTCATGGGAGTTGACCTAGCAATGGATTCAATATAGTCTTTCCACTTCATATCAGCTGAGAATGTGAGCCCAAGAAGGCACAATGAGTCACTTTCCTGGAGGTTAGCATCAGTCTTTCTGATGGAAGGCAGTGAGGGGTCTCTCAGGAGATTAATGGAGAGAAGTTTTCTTTTGGATGATGTAAGATTGATTCTGGATTGAATTAATCATAATTTGAATGAAGTTTTAGAATCTTTTCAAAATCTCAGCAAAGTATTAAGAAACAAGAAAATTTTGTTAGAAAGAAAGAAAGGATTGCTGAACTGTTATGTGATACCAGTCTTTCTATATGGCAGTGTATTTCCTCACAGGGGAAGAGGAGGCAACAGATGTGTGGTTCTACAGAAGGATACTAAGAATAGAATATGGACAGATCATGTGAAAAAGGAAGAAGTCTTATAGAAAATGCAAGCAAAAAAGGACACATATGCAGAAGCTGAAAGATAGCCAAAATTTCTTGTACACATGAGAAATGAGGATTTGGAGAATTTGACATTCACAGTACATTGTGAAGGCAAGAAGTGCAGCTGATAGCAAAATGACAAAGCTTGCTAAGAGATACCAAACTGATTTGATCTAATTTGTGTCATTTTCTTTCAGGACGAGGACGATCATCGTTTTCCACAACTTCCTGTTCTTTTTAGCGATGTTGTTGGGGTTGGAATAAAAGTGTTTGAAGGAGTTGAAATTTTTTTCAGAAATTAATAAATGGGTGGGGTACAATTTTTATTGACCCAAGAGTAAGTATTTTACTGAAAGCAACAGAAGACAGGAAGATGTGGTGAGACATGTTCTGAAGTGATATGGTAGAGAAACAGAGTGAGAGCATTGAGAAGAATCAGAGAGTGACAGCTGAAATTTCTTGGACACATAATGAGGAAGGAAGGTTTGACAAACTTAACTCTCACAAGGCATATTGAGGGCAAGAGAGATAGGGGAAGGCAGCCACTTACCTGATGATGTTCCGTGAATGGATAGCAGGACAGGGGGGGAAGCTTGGTAAAAGGAGAAATGCTGCTAAGGTCCATAAGGGATAGGCAGTTGTAAGGAGCCATGATCACCCACATCCTGAAGGAGATAGCAGATTGAAGACGAATGTTGTTTTCATCAGGACTATATATTAGCTTCCAAGATTAATTGATTGATTTGTTTTTTATGGCTTATCAACCCTTTACAGGTTATTTAAAGCCAGAAAATATTTTTAGATTGTAAGAATTTCTTTGGAGATAATAATGATTTACTGATACACGTCTCATAATTAACCCATAGCTTGGGGGGAAAGAGGTGGATTCATACCTTTCCTAAGGTATTCACGTGTAAGTGAATATAACAAACCTGACTGAAATTGGAACTCGGTTCTCTAATTTCCAATAGTAGTTATTACTCATTACACCAACTGCACATCCAACCTTACAGCACCTGGTATTCCCAAGTGGTCACTCATCTAGGTACTGACCAGACTTGATGCTGCTTAACTTCAGTGATCATATGAGAACTAGTGTTTTAATGTGATGTAGTTGTAAACACTTTCAAGAGTTTCTTAACTTTTGTTTATATGACAAAGGAGAGTTTGTTTTTTTTTTCTGTTCTTTCCTTTTGAAAAATGTGGTTCTATATGCCAGCAAATACTTTATTTTTCCATTTAACAGCACCTGAATTTCCAGTGATATTTTTAGAGTATCCTTAGTCTTCTCTGCTGCACGAAAACCTGTTCCGTCTTTGTTCATTCTATTCAAAGACTTTATTTACATTCCTTGCTTTTCTGAAGACAGTACAAAACATCCATTCTGTGTCAGTCCAGAGTCTGAAGTGAATTCTATAAAAAGAGTGTCTTTTTTTTTTTATTAAATAGAAATTCTCTGCTGTCCTGGCTGCTGAAGACAACTTGCAAGTATTCTACAAGAATCCTGTTTTTTCTCTCGTAGTTTCATTATTTTTTTCTATGTTTTTTTTCTTTTTACTTATTTTTTTTCTACTTGTTTGATTTGTTTCATATTTTTACTTTATTTTATTTTTTACATGCATTATATTTTTTTTACTTGTTTAAATTTTTAAAAACTTTTTTTGACAGCTTTCAGTTTTTGCAACTTTTACTTTTTTGAGATTTTTATAATTTTTACTATTTTGACCTTTTTTATATGATGTTTTACTTTTTTTGACCTTTTTTTTATAATTTTTACTTTTTTTAATTTTACATTTGATTATTTCTCACATTTTTTTAACTCGATTAATTTTAATTTTGTTGTATTTCATCTTTTTCTCATAAAAATGATCACATTTTTTTAGTTTATAAAAAAATCATTTCTGACAGAGATTTTCAATTAAAGAAAACAATTGAGAATTCCAAGAATTGTCTGGATTATTGATCTCATTCTTATTTTTACCAAAACATTTCTGTCTCATTCATTCTTATGACTTCAGGAACATTCAGTTGATTTGGAAAAAAAACAAAGATCTTCATTTTTCAGTCAGAGTACATCAAGACTGTAAAATGGACGTAAAACACTAATAAACTTTCTGATTGAACCAATCTTATATGCCAACTTTCAAAGTAACCAGCATTGATCTTGTGTGCTATTAACAATGACCTTCATAGGAAAGACTTGATTATTGCTAAGACACTCCCAGAAATACCATAGCTGAAGAGTTTGTGTAGCAACCCCTATACTCAACCTTGTCAAAGGTCTTTGAGATATCTAAAGTAATCATTCTAATGTTGAATTTATTATCTAGTACCTCACTGATTCATTCTATAATGACAGAACATCAGCAGTGGACATGCAGGAGTGCAAAACTGTACTGTTTGTCACTCAGGAGGTTGGTTTCGTTGAGGTGATCAAGAACCTTCTTGCTGATAATAAATTCAAAGATTTTGCTGATATGCTAAGAGGCTGATGGTGTGATATTGTGACCTGAAGAAGGCTTGAGTGTCCGACGGTCGAAACATTGTGGATATGGCAACAAAGATGAGGACACCAATCCAAACAATGTAAATAGTGTAAATACCATTAAAAAGGTATAAAAAAAATAAATTTTTATAAAAAAATTACCAAAAAATTGTCAAATTACCAGCAATACATTTTTTTTTAAATTATCAACAATACATATTATCATCTACATACTATATATCTAAAAAAAACATACATTTAACCTGAAAGTATAAAATTATATAAAAATTATCTGGAGTTGAGGACATAAAATCGCATAAAAAATATTTAGATTTTGGTCTTGAATAACCCATAGAGGTGTTAATCTTCCGCTAAACAAAACTGACCAAACTAGAAACCCATTTTTCATAACCTGTTATGATATATTTAAATAATGGTTCGTTAGGATGATGCAGTGGTCATTACTTCAAATTCTAACCTTGATAGTGTTCAAAAGCATCTACATGGCCTTGTGAGTGATGAATTATTTTCTACATTACAACCACTTTCCCAAAGATAAAACTTTGCAAGCCTCTCACTGCTCTATTGCTATTTTTTTTTAATCATTTCACCCGAACAAAGCCACTAAGACACAAGGGGTTACTGAGTGTGAAATATAAGAAAAAGAAAACATTAAGGAGCAAAAACAATAAAAGAAGAGAAATTAAGAAGGCAGAAGATAACAATTGGCATTGCATTTATATTTTTGAAGATCAAATTTGACTGGAAAGTAAGAAGGCAGAAGACTTCTACAGGCAAGAAGTGTGAGAAAAGAAACTGTTAGTATAGAACATATGGTTATATCTAGCTATTTCAACTATAAAATGATGAGACCTTGCCGCCAATCTAGTGCTGCACTTAAATTCATAAAGTTTTGGTCCCATAAAGCAAAACTTATAAGAACAATTACCATAAAAGTCTTTATAGAAAAGGCAGAGGGAAGCTACATTATTGCAGTGGGAAAGTGACTAAAGCCAAGATATCAGGTCAGGACCAATAACATTGCAGATTCTTCTTTGGATTTTATCAAGAATCTTTAAATATATAGCAGGAGCACCAGACCAGATGCAGCAGGATGGGTGAATGGTAGACTTCTTTGTGGAAATGGCTACCTGTTCAAGTTAAGTGTTCACCATTATCCTCACATATCTTCATAATCTGCACATCTTACCTCCTCTTCTTCCTTAGGGTCATACAAAAACCTTATTCAGTAACCCTCTACCTTGATTGGCTCTTGGGCCTTGTATTGTGGGGACAATTAATAAAAAAAAAAGATATGGCACGTAGAGAGTAAAAGGGAGAGAAAAATCAGTCATTGTTGTCTAAATCCTAAAAAGTGTCTGTAGATTTTTTAAAAAAAGGGCTAAAATGCTGACAATGTAACAAATTTTTCATTTTTTTTTTTTAAGTTATGTACATTTGTCTGTGCAGCCACTTTACAGCAAAATATGACACAAGGTTGGAGTTTAATGTGGGATTTTGGGAAAACCAGGGGCCAGGTAATGACCACAGGCCTCCTCCTGAAGGAGAGGTACTGACTGGGGGAATTGCCCCTTCAGGCTTCAGTTCATATTATTTTTAACTTCTCCAGAACGTTTTTTTTTTTTTTTTTTTGAAAGCTATAAGCTGTGTAGTTTGTCTGCATGATAAACAAAGAATAATTCTCCATTTTGATTGGCTCTTCCTGTTTTCTTTGAAATTTTGATCCAAGCTACAAGCACAAAGCATCTAGTCTTGTTAACCTAGTAAATATGATTATCAGACAAGCCTAGTTATGTCATTGGTTTGTCCTCTTGAATGTTTCAAGTACAAGGATTTATGGCTTAAGATAATTCCTGAGGAAATTCATTCCATTAATATTTAGAGAAATTATATTCGATTACATGAAAGAACCTGGATATAATATTCTTGGAATGGTGCTGTATTTTGCATTTCTGGGAGGATTTGAAAAAAATACTTAAAGGATTTGAATCCATGACTGCTATTACTGCACTAGATTCCCAAAACTGCAAATATGCATGATGTATAGAATTTGTATTAAGTGGATAAAGGCAGTGGAAGGGTTTGAAGAGGAATTTCTTGAATTGGAAATAGTTCCATATTTTAATAGTATTTTTCTTTCTTTTTTCTCTTCTTTTACTTCTGACTTTTTTCTCTCTATCTCTTCTTTCTTTCTCTCTCTCTACATTCTGTTTCCATTGTTTTTCTATCTCTCCCTTGTCTCTCTTTTTCATCTTTGTTTCTTGCCCTTGTCCTCTTCTTCCATTCTCTTACGGCTGTTTGTCTAGATCTCTCCTTTTGCAACATTCTTTCCACTTTCTTTCTCTTTCCCTTCACTTTCCTCTCTTGTCCACTCTCCATTCTCTTTCTTCTGTCTCATCCTCTCTCTCTCTCCATTTTCTTTCCTCTTCTATTATCCTCTCTCCTTTCTCTTTCCTATTCTCTTTCTCCTCTCTCTCTCTCATTCACTGTTTCTTCTCTTTTCACTACCATTCTTTCTCTTTCTCTTACCCTCTCTCCATTCTCTTTCTCTTACCTTGCTCTGCTTATTCTCTGCCCTCTTTGCCCACCCCTCTCTCTTTCTAATTCTCTCTCTGAAGTCCTTTTCTTTCAACTTTTTCTCTTTCCCTATTCTTTCCCTTTCTCTCCTCTTTTTTATCTCCCTCCTACTCATTTCTCTCTCTCTTCCTTTCTTCTCTAAGTCTCCTTTTCTTTTCACTCTACATTTCATTTTCTCTCTATTTTTTCTCTTTCCTCTTTATCTCTTCCTATCTTCTTTTTTTCATTTTCTATCTTTAACATACTCTCCATTCTCTTTTCTCTGCATTTCTTCCTTTTCTGTCTTTCACTATCTTCTCTTTTCTCTTTCTCTCTCTCTCATACCTATATTTTATATATATATATATATATATATATATACACACACACTTTATATCTATCTTCATGCTCATCTTTTTCCATCTCTCGTCTTACTTTATTCTTTGTGACTTTTTCTATTTCCTTGTGACTTTTTCATCGTGACTTTCTTTTTCCTTCTCAATGTTCCTCTCCCTCTTTTTATATCTTCCTTCCTTCTTGCTCTCATTTTTACCTCTTTTTTTTTATCTTTTTTTATTCTCCATTGAAGGAAGGAGTGGCTATAATCCATACATTTATACAACAAGCAAGAGATAATCTCTCCATGCAAAAGAAACCTAGAAAGGAATTACAACTGAAATAATAGACATGTGCAATGCTCTTGCTATCCACTTGTTTGTATTTTGGAAATCATAACTGACAACAAGACTTTGGTTCTGGTTTTAGTCAGGGTGCTAGTCGTGTTAGTCAGTGGGCAGCATGCAACAAAGAGGGGGTTGGTGACAGCACTAAGGACATTGGTTATTTCTTGTTTGTGGCTGCTTGTTCAGTTTGTTGTCAGAGCCTGCAATGTCTTTTGAGATTATTGTCAAGATCATTGCATGAGTATCTGGTACAAGCTTGTAGGAAGGTTGGAAGAAAATGGTTTCTTTCCAGTCTATCTTTATGACAGCACCCTCCCCCTTACATGTTTTTATATATATAAACATAAAGCTTATTGTCCA